AAAACAAAAACAAACAAACAAAAAAAAACAATAGAGCAGGACTTCCCCCCCCCCCCCCCCCAATGTGGGCTGTGCTACAACTTGACTCTGGATATTGGTGAAGGAAACTGGTGGTGGGGCCATATCTTGAGGAGAGCAAGCTGTGGGGAAGAGGGTCTTCTTTCAGCAGGAGCGTTCAGAGGATTGGAAGGGTCCAGATGCTCATCCACTGAGACATCCCTATTCCAGGTCTCAGGTCTCACTCTGAATTTTCCATGGAAGCCTGTGAAGGCATGCATTTAGTATCCTTTGCAATTCTGCTACCCTGTGGTCCAGTCCTGGGCTTGATATTTAGCCTTATCCCATGGCTGCAGGAAATAAGGCTCTCCCTTAAAGTTTCCATGGAGGCACTCTGACTTCCAAGGCATTTCATGAGTTGATAATTAACTGCCCTGAACCTGTCACTGTCTGTTTCCAAGGTCTCTGGTACCTTATAATTAACATTATTTCCAAACAGATTGAGTTCCACAGCTACTTGACTTCCCAATATCTTGCTCTCCACCCAATGCGGCTCAGTTGAAAGTTGTGGTGCTCCTGCAGATCAGAGTTATTATCATCTCTCTTATCACCAGGAAAAGGATCTCTATTGATTTCAGACACATAAGCAATGCACTCCCCATATCCATCCTAGAACCACTGGTGGAACCAATGGCCTGACCTCAGTTTCCCTAGGAAATAAGACCCGAAGCAAACGTTAAATCCGACTGAGAAGGCAACAAGAGTGAAAAGTGAAACGAAGCAGGCTAGGATGAGAAGCAATGCAAAGGTGGTATGTTACCATGCAGGCAACTCTTCAGGACCAGCTGCAAAGAGCCACGGCAGGTTACTCAGTAGATGCGTCTCAGTAGCTCTGCAGGACATACCCAGGAAGGTTGTCCATAGGATAGAGGAATGAAAGAGAATGTATCTGCCTAGTTCCCTCCCATCTCTTGTTTCTCATTGGTCAAAATGCTCGCCACAGGGAATTTCCTCGGGTGCATCATCTAGTCTCTTTGATGGCTGCCTGGAAGCTACATCCTGCAGTATGGCATTTCCTCTGAGTCCAGAAGTAGTGGAGGAGTCAGAGACTCCAGACATGTGGCTGGCCAGCCTGGCTGTGTAGCAGCAGCGGCCAAGAAGGATTTGGCTGGGCAAGTGTCTTGTCAGTTCCCAGCGGCTGAGCTGCACAGATTTAATTGGCTGCAGAGGCAGGTACGGAGCCAGCAGAAAGGCAAGGTCTGGCCGATGTGAGGAGGGACATAAGCTGCGTCTGATATCCTCATTAATAGGCTATTAACATCAACAAGTGGTGGAGCTAGAAAAATGATCACCAGGTGAGGATCTTGTCTTATTTACCTTAGAGACCCCAGCACCAGGCACTTGAAAAATGAGATGCTGTTTCAACCGCTTTTATTTGTTCCAAACCTTCCCACTTCACACCTCTGCTGGGCCAGTCATTATGCTAACGAATGGAAGTGACTCTGCTCTGAGAGGTTGAGGATAGTCCCTTATTCAAATCACAAGTTGGATGTGTCCCACTACATCACTCTTATTAATGATCAAAGCTTTCAAAACCCATAATCTGCCAGGCCTGGGTTCATTTGAGACTTATGTAATACAAAATGTACAAGGAAACGAAGAACAGAGTTGGCTGGTCCACGCAACTAGCACAACTCTCAAATGCAATAAGGATTCTGAACAAAAGGGCTCTTTCGCTGCCCAGTCCCTCACTGGGACAGCTCAGTCCACTTTAGAAGCCTTCTTACCACCTTTTGGGAAAAGTAGCTAAGTCTCACACTTCTCTTCATACGTCATGTGGCCTCCCACTGCATCCCACCACCTAGGGAAGAAGAGAATGGACAGCTGGACTATTGGACATGAAAACAAACACTTTTCATTGAACGGTCAGGGAGTCCTGATGTTCCTGGGACAGGAAGACGGACGGATAACCCCTCGCTGGTCCTTAGGATTTTGATTCAGGAGGAGCAGGATCCAGGCCTTGGTTGAACAGGGTAATTGTAGTTGTTTGGACTTGGCCTGAGTGCCCACACTGGGAATGAATACCAGGCAAGGGGACGCTTGCCAGACATTCTTCGATGTTCACCAACGGGTCGGATCACTTGAGCTTCAAGAGCTCAGTTTTCTCCTGAGGGAGTGTGAGGCCAAGTCCTCATCCTCTGCACACGGGTCTTCATCCTGAAATCCTAGTCTTCTGGATTTGACACTCCAGGGAAGAGGGGAGAAAGGGACAGATCTGAGAGATGGCTGAGAAAAAAAGGGAGGAAGGACGCTTGAGATGAGAAAACAGATTGCTCGCCGAGGCAGGTTTTCTTTTAATCAGGAAATGGAAACGGGGCCAATGATATGGTGAGGGTAATTTTTTCCTCCCATTTCCTGATATTTTTCAGGTGTGATTCTTCCACTTGAATTATTCAGATAATTTCCGGAATGAGCCAAACCGTTTCCTTTGTGTTACTGGGACCTAAGTTATTATTCTCATTATTGAATGAATAAAGTCCTAGGCATGGGCTTTTGTCTGCAGCAATGCAGGGCTGGGCCAGAGTCCTGGGCTCCTCACCCATGTCCTGACTCTCAGCTATAGCCAGTGATCTCTGCTGGCACCGGCCCCCTCACCACGCCTCCCACGAAACTGATCTGTCATCAGTGGCTCTCTGACGACTGCATTCTTAATTCTAGGTTAACTCTGCATCGCTATCACCACTGCTTCACCCTCTCAAAGCTGGCATGCTGGCGTGGAGTTGAAAGAAAAAGGAAACCAGAGACAGTGCCCACACGAGAGAGTCCGAGAATCACAGAACCTCAGAGCCAGAACAGACCTGGGAGAGAGTGAGGGGCTTGGCTTGCTCTCCTCTTTTCAGAAAGAGGAGCTAAAACCCAGACCTGGCAAGTGGCTTGTCCTGGGTCACACAGCTCAGCCAAGCGATAAATGTGGACTTAGAGCCAGCCCTCAGGTCAGTAGTCTGGTGCTCGCCCAATCTCACCTCGCTCTTCTCTTTCTTTAAAGAAAGGGAGATTGGGGGGGAAGGGGTAAGAAGTCTTTAAGGAAAAGTTGTTCTCATGGGGAGTGTGGAGGAGTCTCCCACTTCACCCTGACCTTGAAGCGTCTCTCCAGCCCCTCCTCTAACTCTACAGTTCTGTCAGAAAGAGCAGGGTGCTGCTGACCTCTGGGTTTTACTGTTACATGTCAGGTTGGGTTTAAAGGAACTTGGTAAATCATGACTAACGTCAGAGAGTACATGACTTGGTTCCCTTGTTCCTTTGGGATAATTTGTAAAAAAAAAAAAAAAAAAAAAAAAAAAAAAGAGCTCTAACTGGTTTGGCTCAGTGGATAGTCGGTCTGCGGACTCAAGGGTTCCAGGTTCGATTCCGGTCAAGGGCATGTACGTTGGTTGCGGGCACATCCCCAGTAGTGGGTGTGCAGGAGGCATCTGATTGATGTTTCTCTTCCATCGATGTTTCTAACTCTCTATCCCTCTCCCTTTTTCTCTGTAAAAAAGCAATAAAAATATTTGAGAGAGAGAGAGAAAGAGAGAGAGAGATTGCTTTGTACCTTCCTGTATACAGCCCCTGCCTGAACCCCCTGACAGAGGCAGGTGGCTGTGTCCAGCCTTCCTCAGGGAATGATGCTCGGAGAAGCCCTCCTCTAACTTCTGGGTCACTTCTCAGGTGACTTCTCCTCTGCTTCCACAGTTGCAAACCCTCGCAGTGCCCGAGCCCTGGGGGAACTCGGTCTCCAGTCTATTGGACAACCGCCCCAACCCCAGGACATGACAGCGATCGCAATTTCGCGTGGCCGTGCAGCTCCTCCTCCCCCGTCCCCCTACCGTTCTCTTCCCCCCCCCCCCCCCCCCCCCAGGCCCGGGAACCTCGGAGCCAATGGGAGCGTCGCGAAACTCCGGGTTGTAGAGTTCCGAGCCCGGGACCCGCCCCTCTTTGTTGCGGCGGCCAATGGACGCATTCGGAACATCGGCGGCTGCCCGGGTGACTCGGTTATATGTCACAGAATAACATTCGAGAATGGGACTTGGAATGAGGGGCCGGCCGCCGCAGCCGCAGCAGCCCCAGCCCCAGCCCCAGCCCCAGCCCCAGCCCCAGGCCCAGGCCCAGCAGCAGCCGCATCCTCCGCCCCTGCCACCCCCGCCGCCTGGAGTTGCGCCGCAGCCATGAGGCCGAGCGTCCGGAGGTGAGAGGTGCTGCTGCTGCTGCGGCGGCGCCCTTCCCGCGTCCCGCTTGCAGCAGCCCCCCCCCCCCCGGGGAACTCGTGGAACGGGGGCGGCGGACCTAATCCCCCCTGGAGCCTGGGGGCTCCGGGAGGGCTTCCTGGAGGAAACGCGGCCGCCTTTGCAAGCCCGAGCGGCTGCTGCGCCCTCGCGCCGACCCCGGGCGCTCACGTGCGGGCGCGCGCCTGGCTGGCTCCGCGCTCGGCCACATCTGGGGACGCAGCGCGCGTGGAGCCGGGCCGGGACCCCCTGTTCCCGGACGCTGCACCAGCTGCCCCGGTCCACTCCGCACCCCCCACGCCTCTTTCTCTTCCTCCCGGCGTTTAGGTGTGCGTGAAGCTCTGTGCCAACATCCCAGTCGCCTTTTGAGGTAATTGCAGGGCTGGACGCGCGCCTTCACAGCTCTGGAGGGTCTGTCAGCGCGGGGGGTGGTGGCGGAGCGGGAGGGACGCGGGGACAGACCCCAGCGCCGCGGGGCACGGTGTCTCGGGGCGTCCGTCCACTCACCGCGGTGCGTGCCGTGTCTCCGCCGATTGCAGGCTCGGCCCGTGAGCGGAGCGCCCGCCGCCGCCGCTCCCCCCGGGCGCGTCCGGAGGCGGCGCGGGGCATGGAGGCGGCGGCCCCCGCGGGGCGCTGATCCCCGCGCGCGCCCGCCCGCCCGCGCGCACACGCCCCCGCCGCCGCCGCCGCCGACGTCGCGCGACCCCCGCCCCGCCCTCCCGGCCCCGGCCCGGCCCCACCATGACCGGCTCCGCGGCCGACACCCGCCGCTGCCCGCACCCCAAAAGCGCCAAAGGCACCCGCTCCCGGAGCAGCCACGCGCGGCCCGTGAGCCTCGCCACCAGCGGGGGCTCCGAGGAGGAGGACAAAGACGGCGGGGTGCTCTTCCACGTGAACAAGAGCGGCTTCCCCATCGACAGCCACACCTGGGAGCGCATGTGGGTGCACGTGGCCAAGGTGCACCCCAAAGGGGGAGAAATGGTGGGCGCCATCAGGAACGCCGCCTTCCTGGCAAAGGTCAGTGGCTCCCAAGGAGGAGGGGGGTGGGGTGGGCGGGGAGGGGACCGTTTCAGCCTGCACAGGGCACACAGGGGCACTACCCACGATTCTGGTTCTGCTACGAACACCATTCCCCTCTCTTGTCTTCCCCGCAACACCCCCTCCCCCACCCCACCCCTTTGCTTAATTGAGATGTTTGTCCTGGAAGCCTTAGAAATGGGGAGGGTGAGAGGGTGGCTGGCTGTCCTGGGACTGTATGGTCTGTTGTGCCAAGGTTCCTTTGAATCTCTATCCAAACTCTATTATTTATTTACTCACCCCAATGTCTATCCTCTTTCAGCAAGAGCTGTCTGTAGTCTGCTCTGTAGCAGCAGCGATGCCAAGAATGTGCAGGTCCCGTAGGGATCCCACCTCGCTTTTCCCATTTGGAGTCCCCCCCTCCCCCCTTGCAAATGATTTATTAGGCTGTGAATGAGTTTGACTCAACCAGACTTCCCCGCGTGAATCATTTCTAGACTTTTTGCCAATTTTTTTTTTTTTTTAATGACAGTGACTTTCACCTCTGAAACTTGCAAAAACAGTGCACTGTCTCTTTTCCCAGCTTATCTGGGCTCCAAGAAAAAAAAAAAAAAAAGACGAGAAGTTTTGGCCCTGGCTTAAAGGGGTCATGATGAATTAGTCTCACTGGGTTGAGAAGAAGGAGGCTCAGGAGTTAGAACTCCTTTTACCTTGGAGAGAAGCCAGGGAGCTGTTGGGGTCTAGTGGCCAAGGATCACTTAGCAAGACGGAGGGAGGGAGATGTGCCGTGGTCGCTGTGTGAAACATAAAATGCAAACAGGGGGGAGACATGCTGCCAGAGCCTGGGAGGGCTGTAGCATGGCAGATGGTTTCCCGGGCACCCTGGGGACCTGGCATGGCTGAGAAGATTCCTGGGCGAGTCTAGGAATGCCAGACCTGAGACCTGCAAGGCCATCTGGTGGAGTCTCCAGCCTGGAGCAGCTGGTGACCTGAGCATCCGAGCCCTGCCGGCCACAAAGCTGTGTGTGCCCTTGGGAGAAGTGGCCCAGCCAGTAAGCTCCCTGTTGCAGCCAGTCGCTGTGTTTTATCACTCTGCCGGTAAGGAGCTCTTCACTGTGCCCAAGGAGGGTCCTGTCAGCCGTAATTACCCTTGCCGAGTCCTCCTTGAGTCTGAGAACAACGCTGATCCTGGCTTGTGGTTCTGGCTTTGTCCTTATTTAAGTGAGCCTTCTTTTACTGAAGGGCGAGCTGGGAGCCCAGAAGGCTTGAGGAGAGGTGGCCACAGGCAGTAGAGGCCTGCTTGAACCATCCCATGCTGCCTTTCTAATTCAGGGTCCTCAGCAGCAACCCTGTTTCTAACCGGGCCTTCATCCTGCTCCCAGTTTTGTGTGCGGTGACCCCCTTTCTCCGTGGGAATCAGGGGATGTTAGTATTGGTGGAGACCAGACTTCCTTCGGAGTTCTGAAGACCTCCTGAGAACTAGGGTTCATAGCCTCCTAGGACAGCTGGTCCCAGGCCTGGCCAGATTAGATTGGTGGGAAAATCTCTCCCGAGACTGAACAGAAGTCCTCCTTCTCTCCCCTTCGCCACATGTTACCACTGAGTCTTGTGTTGCCCTTTGAGCCCGAGGAGCACAGGCCTACTTCCTTTGCAACTCACAGCTTCCTAGAATGTCACTAGACGGGGCTCTTAGAGTGAGGAAGGGACGGAATTCCAGTCCTCGCCGTGCCACCTCTAGCTTATAAAATCTCTGGTCTCAGTTTTCTCATCTATAACATGGGAGTAGGCTTCAAGTAAAGTTCTTTCCAACTCAAATTCCATAATGTTATATGACCCAGGAGCCTCCAAGTTCTGATGCTGGCTGTGTGACATCAGAGGTGCACGGAATTACGAGTCCTCAGAACTGTGACATCTGTCATTCCGCACCTTCCTTTTGTCTCCTTTGTCTGCAGGTAGCTCCCTTTCACCTTTATTTTTTTTTAAGTGTATATTTTTATTGATTTCAGAGAGGAAGGGAGAGGGAGAGAGAGATAGAAGCATCAACGATGAGAGAGAATCATGGATTGGCTGCCTCCTGCATGCCCCCTACTGGGGATCGAGCCAGCAACCTGGGCCCAGGCCTGTGCCCTTGCCCCTTCAGTCCTGACGCTCTATCCACTGAGCTAAACAAGCTAGGGCTCACCTTATTTGTTAGAGTTTCCAGATCAATTCACTCTTTTCATCTTCTTTCTACGACAATGGCTAATTTGAAATCAATCCCCTAAAATAAGCACATATGAAACACAATATTCTAAATGTAGTCTGAGCAGCTTAGAACATAGATCGCTATTTCCAGAGACCTCCAATACTATGGCTGAATGCTGTGTTCCTAAAAAAGAGTGGTCCCTGACCTGACAGGGTTGTTCAGTGGTTAGACAATCAGGCAGTACACCAAAGGGTTGTGGGTTTGATCTGTGTGTATGGGAAGCAACCAATCAATGTTTTTCTCTCTATCTCCTCCCACCCCCACCCCAATCCTCTCCCTTCCACTCTCTAAAAATCAATGGAAAAAATGTCCTCTGGTGAGGTTTAACAACAGAGTGGGGTGTCTCTCTCTCTCTCTCTCTCTCTCTCTCTCTCTCTCTCTCTCTCTCTCTCTCTCTCTCTGTAATAGAGTGGCCATATTGTACTTTTATTTCTTATTTTTAAAAATATGTTTTATTGATTTTTTAGAGAGAGGGATAGAGAGTTAGAAACATCGATGAGAGAGAATCAGCAAGTCCTTTGCTCCTTTAATCAAATCAATGCTTTCCTGAGGAATTTGTAAGAGAAGAGGTGGAAGGATTGAAGAGTTTCAGAGAGGTTAGGATTTTTGGCAATTGAATTTGTGTTTTTTTGGCAATTAAATTTGGCAAAGAAGTGGGCAGAGGAAGGTGTCAGAGGCCTACGAGGGGGACTGGATGCCACTTCCTTTGCAGGGCATTCGGTTAGCAGCCATGGTCAGTTCTCCCCAAAGGTCCAGGTACCCCTTCCTGGGGTGTGGAGGAGCTCACCTGCTCTGAGATCTTTTAAATTTTTTACCGAAGACCTCTCTCTGCAGGTTGCTAATCTGGAGTTACAATTGTGTAGGTGAAGGCCAGGGTTTTTTAGGGATGGTGCAAGAAAGTAGCTCCAGCCAGGTGGAGGATGATAGAGGATGGGAAGCCAGGGGCAGGGAGGGAGCAGACACAGAAAAAAACCCAAACAGCTGGGCTGTTTCTTGCAGAATCCACACTCTTGTGCCTCATTCTCACGTTGATCCCAAATTGGAAAGTATTTCACATTTAGAGGACTCAGCTTTGCCTGAGTGAAGAGGTGAATGCTGTGAGGTGAGACTTGGCTGCAGTCAGGGCTCCACTCCTGCCCCCTGCTGGTTCCCTGGGGCAGCTCCTCCCTCCCTCGTCCTGCATTCAGAACCATCCACTGGTCTTTCCTGCTCAGGCTCCATGGCAGGCTACGGCCAACAGATTCCTGGCTGCTGCTGATGCAGGGGTCTGGCGCCCATCTTGGGCTCATGAGCGATGTTCCTTGCTCTCCTCCAGAAGACTCTTCTGTCTGGGGTCTGCCAAGTGTATTTTTCAGAGCAGGGACAGCAAAAGGCTTTGCTCTGTCCTTGTTCTCTCTTGTTAAAGATCCCTGGTGCCTGGACGTCTAGCTGCTGTCCTGGCTCCCTCCCACGTGGTGATGCCACAGTGATGATATGCACTTGTGTCCATTCACATCCCTTCTTGCATTCTTTTTTTCTAATATATATATATATATATATATATATATATATTTGTCAATTTCAGAGAAGAAGGGAGAGGAAAATAGAGGTAGAAACATCAATGATGAGAGAGTATCATTGATCGGTTGCCTCCTGTGCGCCCCCTGCCAGGGACTGAGCCCACAATCCGGGCATGTGCCCTAAGAGGGAATCGAACCATGACCTCCTGGTTCATAGGTTGACACTCAGCCACTGAGCCATTACTGACTGGGGTCCTTGCATTCTTCTGACGGGTCACTGAATTTGGCAAGTACGGAGTGAAATTGAGTCTGTCCATAAAAACCTTGCCTGTGGTTTGTTTCATCATTATTCTTGAGCAACCATTTTCCTGTCCACCCCACTTCCTCCTCCCACTCCCGGACCCCTGACCACAGGCGCAGTATGGAAAGGGTCATTGTGATTTGTGCCCTCTAGATTCTGCCTCCATCAGCAGGGATGTGGCCTGAGGGGGCTGGATGCAGGTGGCAGGAGAGGGAAGCCTTGAGGGGAAGGGCCATGGGAAGTCCAGGCTGACAGTTCAGATGGAATAGGGCAGGAACATGACAGGAGAAGAGACCCGTAGGTCCCCCCACATGGAGAAAACAAAAGGAGGGTTCCCTGGGCTTTTTGTAAAAGGTTGTACCCATTGAAACTCCCATCCCCTCTCTGTATGGGAGCATCCTGGTCTGCCTTGAGTGTCCACGTTTCAGAGCATCCCTGCTAAGCAGAGAGGTGACAGGGACATTCCGCACTGGCTTTAATGTGCATTTCTTACATTATTAGTGAGTTTGAACTTATTTTTTCAAATGTTTTATCCACTGTTGGCGTTTCTTTTTGTGTGTGTGTGAATTGTTTTTTTTTTCACGACCCTTTAAAAACTGTAGTAAAATATACATAACATAGAGTTTACCATTTACGTGTTCAGTTCTGTGCGATGTTGTGCGTGTAACATCACCACCTTTCACCTCCGAAGCCTTTTCTTCTTCCCCAGCTGGAACTCTGAACCCCTTAAACAGAAACTCCCTCTTCCTCCCTCCCACCCTAGCCCCTGGCAAATCACCCTCCTTGTTTCTGTCTCTATGATCTTGGCAGGTCTAGGAACTCATAAAGGAATTGTACCAATATTCGTGACTGGCTTCTTTCACTTAGTGTGAGGTCCTCAAGGTTTATCCCTGTTGTAGCATGTGCCAGAATGGTCTTTCTTTTTATTGCTGAATAATATCCCGTTATGCATACATGCCCCATTTTGTTTATTCATTCACCTAATTTGCTTCCACTTTTGGGGGTCATTAAAAAAAAAAAGGACAGATTTATTTATTTATTTATTTATTTATTATTTTTATTGACTTCAGAGAGGAAGGGAGAGGAGGAGGAGGGTGGAGAGAGAGATACATCAATGATGAGTGAGAATCACTGATCTGCTGCCTCCTGCGCCCCCAACACTGGGGATTGGACCTGCAACCCGGGCCCTGACCAGGAATCGAACCTTGATTTCCTAGTTCTTGGTCGACATTCAACCACTGAGTCATGCCAGCTGGCCAGTTTTTTGTTTTGTTTTTTTTCCTTGAGGCCCCAAAGTTTTCTTATCACTTTGTGTGAACACTTCATGAATTAAGGAGGTTAACTCATGGTCCCAGAGGGAAGTGGGTGGTTTCATTAGGGTGAGAAGGCATCTCAATAACGCTCCTGATTGTCCAGGGACTGAAGCGCTGCCGATTCTGTTTTCCTGAAAAGTGAAGGCATTTCAGGCTTCCCCGTTGTCAAACCCTGAAGGCACACTTCAGACGATAATAATGCAGCTAACACTTAGAAAGCACCAAGTGCCAAGCTCCCAGGTGCACATTTTATACATAAGTTATGGAATCCTCATAACCAGCCCAGAAGGTTTGGAGTAGGCGATATTCTCCTGTTTTATCGGGATGGTAACAGAGGCTTAGAGAGGTCATGTAGCTTGACCAGGGTCCCCAGCCAGCAGGTAACAGAGCAGGGACTCCAACCTTGCTGTGTTGGACGCATCATCACAACTGAAGGAGCCCACCTGATTAATAGTGCATGGTTCTGTGGAGGCATTGGCAGCCTGAGGGGCTGGTCGGGAGCTGAGTCTCAGTCAGCTCTCCCAGATGTCAGAGTTGTAGCCAGATGACATCATCCCCTCAGCAGGCTTAGCCCCTCTTCCTGCCACAGCTCTGCTCCTCAGCTGGGGTTTGGGGAATGTGGCCACTCGCTCTCTGGAGGGGCTGAGGTAACCAGGCAGCTGTTCTTAAAAACCTTTGGGCGCCACTGAGCTTCTATTCTGAGGACCAGCTGCTGCCTGAGTCCTTCCCCACCATCCGGCTCTTGTGGGGTCTGTTGGCTTTGCTGGAGTTGAAATAATTTGGTGGTTGGCCCCCACGGCCGGCTGACTCAGAACGCAGTCACTCTGGCCATCTCATGGCTGTGGTCAATGGATGCCCTTCTGGGGATTTCTTAGGTGGCCAGGGCTTCTATGGGGGCATTTCCCTGTGCTTACCAGCTTTTCTATTAAATAGGTCCTCTTCTGTGCAGAAGCATGCTCCTGACTTAATAAACTGTCATCCCGCCTCCCTTTCTCTCTGTATAACTCCCCCTTTGTACCTGCTCTAGAGCTGGGAACATAAGTGCTGAAGAGACGTTTGTGCACATCTCCCATTCTCTCTCTGCTTCTCTGCAAAATTTCTGGCACGTTCTTACACAGAATTCCCGATTTGGTAGATGTTACTTCACACAAAAAAATAAGGACAAGCCAGGTACTTATTGGCGTTTACTTATTGGCAGAAAACACAAAGGTATTCTTCATTTAAAAAAAATTTTTTTTATTGATTTCAAAGAGAGAGAAAAAGGGGGGGGGGAGAGGGAGAGAGAGAGAGAGAGAGAGAGAGAGAGAGAGAGCGCGAGCGAAACATCGATGAGAGAGAAACATCGTTTGGTTGCCTTCTGCATGCCCTCTATTGCGGATTGAGCCCCTAAAGCAGGCATGTGCCCCTGATCGGGAATCAAGCCAGCGATCTCTCAGTGCATGGGATGGTGCTCAACCAACTGAGCAACACAGGCCACAGCTACACTTCACTTTTTGACTGTGTGTGTGTGTGTGTGTGTGTGTGTGTGTGTGTGTGTGTGTGTCAGGAAGGAGGGCGGCATGTGAGCAAATGTTCCAATTTGCTCCAAAAAATGACTCTCCAACACAAGAATGTGATTTGAGTTGATATGTTGTAATCAAAATGTCGTTCACAGAACAGCTTGTGTGTGCACACACTCTTACATTCACACACACACACACAGCACCTTGGCTGTGAAGTAGGAAGTGTGACTAGCTTCCTTTCTGTTAAAGGGGCAGTTGCTGTGAAGTAGGAAGTCTCAAAGCCAAGAGAGAATAGAGGCGCGGAGAGGAAAAGATTGTCAAGTAGCATTATCAGTAAATGCAGCCTAGGGTGTAGAAGTATGAGCAACCCTCTGCATTCTCCCTCCTCCTCCCACCCTCCTCAGGCCCAGGGCCAGCGTGCCCTCCAGCTTCACTGCGGGGCCTGAACCCAGGGAGCGGGGAGAGCTCTGATGCCCAGCAGGCTGCCGAGCACTGTCCCCAAGTCAGTTGACCATCAGCTTCACTGTCCATGATCTAAGCCCTAAATCCCCAAGGCCTCCCTTTCCTGTTTTCTCCCAGGATGGAACTAATCTGTCTTGAGGTTCCTTCCTAAGCACATGGGCCTGCAGGAGCCTCCTCTCCTTCCTGACAACGTACTGCAGGGGCCTCAGGTCCACGTGGGCCGAGTGCCTCTGCCCCCATGGCCCTACCCCACCAGCGAGGCCCAGGATGAGAGACTGAGAAGCATATAGGGGGAGAGAAAGCAAAAATCGTCCCTCACTTGCCAGGAGTGACTGGATTGGAAGCCCCAGCTTGTTCTCACTCCCGGCCTCATTGGCAGCCTGCTCAGTGCTGAGTGCTGTCTGAGCTCTAAATTCCAGACAAGAGGCGCCTGTCTCCCCCTCTCCCGTCCTTGCCTGCCATTGCTCCTTTCTCCTCCCTGCAGGGCTTAGCACCCTTCCCTGCAGGACTTGTAGACACTTGGTGAATGTTGACCAGGAGTGGCTGGGGGGGCTGGGGGGACCTAAGGGGAAAAGGGTGAGGTGACTCATGAGTCAGAGGAGCTGCACTTGCCTGGGAAGAGTGAAGGCAAGAGGGGACTCTTACCTCATCCATCTGGGTCTAGACTCACGGGAGGGAGGAGGTGGGCATTGCAGGGAGTGGTATTGAGGAGAAATGGCGGCCGAGGTGCCATGTTGCATTTCTGCAGGGCACCATTCATCTTGCACTCAATGGTGCCCTGGAGTGGGGCACATAGAATGGGTCACACCAACCATGCAGCAAAAGGTTCGGTCATGCAGTAAAAAATGTGAGGGTTAATGGAGCGCGGCTATGAATATCCTGGGCCAGGCTCCGTGGGGGGCGCTATAGGACATGGTCCTTGGCCTCAGTGAGTGCCTGAGGCTCCCTGGGAAGGCGGCTGTGTTCACACTCACAATACACAGAGGGCCATAGAGAGTAGAGGGCCACTATGACCCACGGTGGAGTGTGGGTGGAAGGAATGCAGAGAGGGGGGACTTCAGCAGGGGGTCGACTGGTGTGGGGAAACCTTGTCCAGGAGGTACCACTTGAACAGGCGACCATGGCAGGGTGGCCATCTGCTCCCAGGAGCAGTTCTCCGGTGGTCTCTCAATCCTAGGCCTGCCATCAAGCACCGGCCCCCCAAAATATCTCTCTCTCCTTCTCTGCAGCCTTCAATACCCCAGGTTCCAAACTACAGGCTGTCGATGACGATCCCAGACTGGCTCCAGGCAATCCAGAACTACATGAAGACACTACAGTATCCTTCCCACGAGGGTCTGAGCAGACACAGCCAGGGGATGGGCGTGGTGATTGCAAGCTTGGTGGCCTGTCTGTCTCCAGCTGGTCAGCAAATGCTCTCTAAGGTTGGTGAGGCCGGGCATGGAGGGAGGCCCCTTTGTGAGAGTCTAGGAGGAGTGATAATAGAGGGTGTAATTACACTGATCAGACCCCCACCCTTTTAAGCAGGATGTGGGCCAGGATGGCAAGAAGGCAGTGAGACCATGGTGAGCCACCTCGAGCCCCCCTGCCTTCCATCTCCTCTTTCTCCACTTCCTCCTCCTCAGTCATCTTTCCCTCTTTCTTCCTCTACAGTCTTTCTCCCTCTTCCCTCCTAGTCTTCTGTTCCTTTTCTTTCCTCTCTTACTTTTTGCCTTTATCTTGACTGCTCATAATTTACTGGAGCCCACCTGGCGCTGCTTTTGGCTCCCCAGATGGTCCTGACTGGTAGCCTTACTCCTTTCCTTGAGACTGAATGGGGCTCTAGCCCAGGGGCGCTCTCCCCTCATCTGAGCTTGAAGAAGAGCTGGGGTTTCTGGGAGTCCAGGCTGGGTTCAGACAGCCAGACTGTTTTTTTTGTTTTTTGTTTTTTTTCCACCTCCAGCGTTCTCAGGTTGGTTGCAGCCAGGTTAGATCAGTTCTGAAGGTCGGAGGCAGCAGCATTGCCAGGACAAAGGGCAGAGGCGAATGGTCTGCTGGCTGCTCTGGTGTTTTTACCGGGGATAGGAGTCAGAGCAAAGCTGGGCTGGCAGAGGCCTATGTGAAAGGGACTGGCCATTTACCCAAGTGAGTGAATAGCATCTCAGAGCTAAGCCAGCATCAGACGCCCGATAGACCCGCAGCACAATGCCCGGGGTGCCAAGCCTCTTCTGGCCTCTGGCCTCCTTCCCCAAAGACCTAGAATGTAGCAGAAAGGATTTCACAGGCACTGGCTTGTATGCCACGTGCGCTCTGTGCTATCGGCAAGACCCATTCCTGTGGATTTATTATGACTTCCGTGAAGGGATGAAGACTACCAGATGGGAACACCACCAGTTCTGCTGTTTGGGTAGGCAGGTTACTCATTAGCCTCTCAGTTTCCACTTTGCGGGATATGAACTCTTCCACGTGGCATCTCCCCAGTGGAATCCAGGAGCAATGTTAGAGGAAAGGCTATCTGGTGGTGTGTTGATCCCCAAACTGGGACCCCACCTAGAGAGCTTTGTGTGGTCCAGAAGCATAAACTCCTACCACCAGGGTAGACTTGGACCCCAAGAGCTGAGCCTTCCTGGATGTGACCGACTTCCTCACAGAACATTCCAGAAAGCGACAGAAATTGGAATGGCTCCTTCTCCTGTCTAATGCCATGGGCGTCACCAGGACCACTGGAGCAGAGATGAAAGAGAATGAGCCTGGTGGGGAGAGTTTGCATTCTCTGCTAAACCCCGCAGCACACCCTCAGCCAGGTTTTCATTGTTGCCCCGAAGGAGCTGCTTTTGCTCTTTTTTCTGATGCATTATGATGGTCACTGCCCCAGGTCACTGACTGAACGGAAGGCCGGGCAGGCTGCTGGACTGCGCTCCCTGTCACCTGACCATTGGAGCCACCTCACAAAGAAGGCAGAGTGTGGTCTCTGTTCTAGCTTCTGTCCAGACTTTCACTTAGTTCCTTGGGATTTCCTATTGTTTTGCTCTGAACAGCGTGACCAGTGCTAGAGTACAGGGACCTTTAGGGGCCAGTTCTGACTGTAGATGTGTGCAGTGGGCAATAGTGATGTGGAAAGACAAATCCTGCTTTCCCTTCTGACAGCATCAGGGTGTTGGCCAGAGGGAGTGCTGAGTTTGCACTGCGTTCTGGGAAGTGGTGCCACCTGACTTTGCTGAGGGCGGACTCCGTCAGTGAGTCTCTCACCCTGAAGGCAATGTTTGTAGGAATTTCCTCCCCAGCTCACTTGCAGGAGCTGAAAACTCTTAGGAATTGAGAAAAGATAGCCAGGTAATTTTTCATTTTTTTATTACAGGTTTGTCTCACTTTATGTACAGCATGTACCAACTAGATATACGTGCAGGGAAAGTTGGGCATATGCATTGCATTTTTGCCATTTGAATTCTACTTTAAATATACCAGAATCTCATCGTTTGAATGGCATCTTTAGTAGAGTAAAAAAAAAGTCAATGAGAATTGATTTTTTTCTTTTACATCTAGGCTTTTGTATATTATTTTTCCAAAAACTAGGCAAGCCTATATTGTTATTGATTATTGTTATGTACATGCCAGTAATTTCCAAACTGTGTCCTTATTAAAATCAGCCCTTGGCCCTCGCCCTGGAATTTCCAATTGAACTCTCCAGGATGTGGTGACTCTGAATGGCATTTAGGGTTAAAAACCATGGCCTGAAATCAGAATCTCCCGAGGTTGAGCCCAGAATGTGCTTATAACGAGCTCCTCAGGTGGTGGTTCCTTGCGCTCATGTCTGAGTGGCCAAGCACATCTGTGGCAGGGAGGACTCCCAGCCCTTCTCAGGACCACCCTCTGCAGCTGCCTCCACCACATTAGGGGCACACGTCTAATCTCATACACTCTCCCTGCCCGGGCTACAAGTGCACGCTTCGTTAGCAATTTCCCAACATGCCCTTTTTAAATAGAATTTTGTTTGAGGCAGTCTAGGGAAATGCACAAAGCAATGTTTTTCAGGCTCAGAAAAATTAAGATCCAGTCTCAGAGAAGAGGGCATGTCATTAGGGAATCTTTGTCATTCAGGATGACCTGGTGCAGGCTCTCCAGTCCCTGAGACCTTCTGGGCGACTAGCTAAATCCCAGGCTGTGGATAATGTCACCTCACATTTAGTAATCAATGTCAAGTGTCAGTTCAGGCATGAAATGAAAATAAGCTCCGCTGCAGTCTGAGAAACTCTACTGTCATCCATCTACTCTTCCATATATATCCCATTCTTCCTACCTTTTATCATCCATCTATCCAGGAAGCTATCCACCCACCCACCTACCCTTCTATCTATCCAACCATTCACCCACCTTTCCATTCATCAGTTTTATTCATCCTTTCTTCCTTTATTTCTTTCACCCATTCACCCATTCATCCATCCATTAATCCATCATCTAACTATTCATCTACCTTTCTATCTCCCTATGCATCTATTTATCCATCCATCTGTCTACCCATTCATTCACTTATTCTTCATTCACTGGATTTATGCCAGGCTTTGTGGTTGATATAAAGATGATAAACAAATGGTCCCAACTCTCAAAGAACTTTTAGTCTAGTAGATGAATTAAGACATGTATTCAACTAACCAGAATAAAGAGCAGATTGAATATGGCTAATCTAAGGGTCCAAGGTGCTTTGGCCTCTAAATTAGAAGTTAGATTTCCAGGCAGGACAGTGAGAGAATGTTGACTACCTTCTGCTATTGGACACCTGGAAAGCCCTCACTTGGTCATCTCACTGAGAAATCAATGCATAGCTTCCTCTGTTGGTTTCCTGGGACTTCGGAGTTTTCTCTTACTTTCCCTTTACATACTTCACACAGATACAATCATACAGGGACCCAGTTCTTTGAAATTAGAAAAATGAGGCCACTGAGTGGGTAAGTGGTGCATGATCTGTGGGGGCCAGGTGACCTCTTTCCTACCTGAGAGCTGCTAACTCCCTCTCCTGCCCTCATCCCTGTATCCCAGTGCTCACTTTCCTGGTCTGTAAGGGATGGAGATGCGGGGGGGAGGGGATTACCCAGGGAGATGTTGGAGGTGGGGCTTGGGTCTGGACCACTCTCACAGCTAAGCTCAGTGGTGGAGACTAACTTGTTCGGAGGGTGGGGGATGCCTATGAAATGTGTTTCATGTGGCCTCCTTTACTTACTCCATGGGATGCCCCTAGTCCAGGGGCAATGGGAGGACACTATGGAATATGGTTACTAACATCCAGGAACTGGCTCTTGGAGAGAGGAGTGGAGAATTTAGGTTTTTATTTTTGCCAAGTGCATATATGCTTTGGCGTCCTCCTGCAAAGTGAGTCCTCCCTTTTCCCTCTGGATTCCTACGTGGTGCCTAGCATGAGGACAGGCATGCTGACGGATCAACAGACAGACCAACTGCATTATTAAATAAGTCCTGAGACCCTTTGCTGTGCTCTATCCTACAGGTTAATGGAAACAGCGAAAGAAATGACTCGCGAGTCCTTGCCTATTAAATGCCTTGAAGCTGTCATCCTGGGCATGTATCCTTTAAGTTATGTTTGCTTAAGTTTAATCCATCGGTGGATGGTGGCCTCCCTGTGGGGCTGCAGTGCCTTTAATGTCCTAGATCCACAGAGGTGATGACCATTGTCTCTCTGGAGGACTAAGCTCCCCTGTCGTTTCTCTTTAATGTCCACCATCTGGAGTTGAACCAAATCAGAGCTTGACTCCTTGGACCATCATCACTGTAACCTGTTAGCTAAAGCCTGTATCAGGGCCAGCTCTTAGGCCAGCCTCACTAGTCACAAGGAGAATTCTAACTTGGAGGGACTATAGAGAGTGTATGTGTGAGTGTGTGTGTGTGTGTGTGTGTGTGTGTGTGTGTGTGTGTGTATGGCATTCATCTGGTATCGCAATAGGAAAGGCACTCAAGGGGAAATGGGGTCCTCCAAACCCACCCCCAGGGAAATTTCTAAGAGTGGTTTGTGGAAGAGACTGTGTAGTGGTATAGTGTCCTGACTGCAGAACATAGAGCTGAGACAAAGGTCTGGTCTCTCTCACACCCTCTGTTCCATTTTCCACCAGACTTCTGGCTCCTCAGCTGACTATGGCCCAGAAAACTGTGATGGCACTCACATACTAGTGGTGATGGCAGTAGAACACCATCCAATAGAAGAGCAAAGAAACCCCAGTCCTTTGGAGTGATGGCTAGAAGGGCCTGTGACCAAAAGAACATGGCAAGACGTGGGCTTGAGAGGTGGTCCCAAGTCAGACCAATTAAGTCCTTGGATGCTGTGCCGAGAAGTGTGACCTTTGTATAAAGGCAGTGGGCAGCCCAGGTGAAAGCTCTGGAGCAGAGCGGTGACATCATCAGGTATTCGCTTCAGAGAGGTAATCCTTAGGGCAGGCTGAAGGGTGGACGAGAAAACTGGGGCTGGATCTGCCGAGCCAGATAGGAGCTGTTACACGAGGGAAATGATGGTGCTTGGACCATGGTCCTGGCAACGGGAATGGATTGGAGAGACAGTTTCAAGTGATATGAAGGAGATAGAGTTGGCAGGCCTTGCAGGCCTGCTAGGTGTAGAAGCCGATGAGGAAGGGATCAGCAAATAGAGGTTTCTGGGTTAAGCGACAGTCTGTGCAGGAGGGGCTGAAGGGGCGAGAATGACAGACAGGTGAGATACGTCAGCACAGATGTGAACTAAGACAGCAGTGAAGGCAAGGAAGGCGTTGGGGGGTGTCCTCAACTTGTGGATGGATCCGATGTGAAGGGTTGGAGGATAAAGAGGCGGCGACTCCACATTTCTGGGTGGAAAACTGGGTATTGGGATAATCCTTCAACAGTCCAAGGGAAGGACTTAACCAGGAGGATTACATTTATGGGGAGATGAGTTCAGATTTGGACATGTTGGATTTGAGGAGCCTGTGGGATGCCGGGTGGGGTATCGGGAGTGTGGAGCTCAGGATGGGCTCAGCGCGGGAGATACCACTTGGGGAGCCGTGTGTTTAAGGGGTGGCAGGTGCGTGCTGTTCATGGAATGAGGAGAGAAAAAGCTCAAGGATGAAATCTCATGATTTTTCGGTCAAGTTGACACAAAACGCCCATAAATGACACTGACAAGGACAACTCCAGAGGTAGAAGGTAAACTAGCAAGGAGATACGGAAATGAGCGGAAGGATGGGTGGCTGAGAATCAGACAGGGAACAGTGGGACGTTTTTATGGAAAGGGGACTTTCCACCCCTCTGCAACCTGCAGAGCACCGGTCGGGACAAGATGGTCCCCGGGTGCCCGGGGCTGACATTTCAGAAGTGAGAACTTGAGCCTTACAGAAGCCTCTCCCCACCCGCTGTCAGACCTCCTCCTTGCTCCTCACAGAGATGAAAGGGGCGTCTGGGGAGCCCAGCAAGAGTGCAAGACCAGGGTGGATGGGGGCAGCAGATGGCTCAGGGCTCCCACTCTCCCAGTGGCAAGAAGCAGCAAAGCTGTTGGGCAGAGCCTCCTGCAAGTTTAATGGGGTTGAACAATTGTCGGGGATTTGCTGGGGGAGATCACAAACGCAGGCCCTTCGCTGGGTGGACTAGTTCCCTTCAGACCGCCTGCTGATGGACGTGTGTGCACCTGGGTCATCTTGCTTTATAGTCATGCACACAGTAGTTTTGACCCTGTGCAGATTTATAAATTCAAGCCTTTAAGTGACAGGAATTAAAAACTTTTAGGCCTGGCTAGGGTGGCTCAGTGGTTGAGCATCAACCTATGAACTAGGAAGTCATGATTTGATTCCCAGTCATGGCACATGCCCAGGTTGCAGGCTCCATTCCTAGGGTGGGGCATGCAGGAGACAGCTGATCAATGATTCTCTCTCATCATTGATGTTTCTCTCTCTCCCTCTCTCTTCCTCTCTGAAACCAATAACAATATATATATTAAAAAACCACACACACAACCACTTGGAATTGTGGGGATAGACCAATGACGAGCCTCTGGGCCTGTCCAAATCCGAGGATCACATACATGCTCTTGGTTTTCCTTTGTTCTTCCTGGTGTCACATTTCAGAAAAGTGTAGGGAGGGTGGAACAATTCGGCTCACTCTGCCGAACTCAGGGAAATTTGATCCTTGGTCACAGACAAGAAACACAGCCCTGAGTCGTAAAAGTTACAGCATCTTTGTCTTTGCTCTTTGCTCTGTGTCAGCATCCCTGTGGCCTGCTTTGCTCACGGCCACAGTGAAGGACAGGACTTGGGCCATCTGTCTGGGCCTCCACACACTCTCCTCTCCTCATCCCTCTCCCATCCCACCCCCCACTCCTCCCCACCACCTTGGCTCTTTAAAACCTGTGTCCTTCCTGTTTTCTCTCATCACGTTAGCCCAGAATTCAGGATTCGTTCACACAGAGCCACTGTTTTCGTCTTGCTCGAGCACGTGGGCACACTTTCACATGCGTGCTGGAGTGATAGACCTTCGGTTCCAAATGGCTTTTTGAATAACAGCAGCGCTTTTGGGGCCCTAGCTGACCCTGGCGGGGCTTAGTTATGGTAGTAAAGTACTATGGTTTATTTACGTGGTTCATTAGCAGAGGCACGTTAGGCACATCCCCAGCAGGCGGGATGGTGGGACCTTTTCCAGGGGCTCGGGGCCCTGCTGGTCCCTCTTCCCTAGCAAAACTCAGGCTGTTTCCCCGCCCTCATCCACACCTCCTTGTCCCCTCCGCTTTGGTTCTCCACTGTTTCAGGACACATGGCTTTACTGATGGCTGTAATGATGGAACACGTCCTAGGGATTAGTGACTTGTGGCAAGGTGCACCATCCAGTGGTCTCTCCCGTCCCTTCTCCTCTCCACCCCCCCCAACCCTCCCTCCGTGGCTGACTTTCCTTGTCCCAGGAGACTCACATTGGGGCCACTTCTCTTAGGTCCCTAGGCTTGTCTCTTACAGCACACATCATATTGTGAGGTTTTGGGTGTTTTTTTTAGTTTTATTGAGATGTAATCGACATACAGTACTGTGTATAGCATAACGATTTACATACATTGTGACTGTGGTGTTTTAAAAATTGTGGTAAAACATTTATAATATAAACTTACCACCTTATTTTAAAAAAAAAAGTCCTCACTTGAAGATATATTGATTGATAGAGAGAGAGGAATGAAGAGAGGGAGTGAAAGAAACATTGATGTGCGAAACACCAGTTAGTTGACTCCAGTCCGTGCTCCAATTGGGGATTGAACTTGCAACCTGCGTTATGTGCCCTGACTGGGAGTCGAACCCTCAACCTTTTGGTGTATGGGGTGATGCTCCAATCATCTGAATCACCCAGCCAGGGCTACCGCCTTACTTTTAAGTGTGCAGTTTAGGGGCATTGCAAACATTCACATTTTGGTGTAGCCATCACCACCAGCCATCTCCAGAACTTCCTCTCCCCAACTGAAACGGCATACCCATTAAACACCAACTTCCCATGCCCCCTCCCAGCCCCTGGCAACCATCACTCTACTTTTTGTCTCTGAATTTGACTTCTGTAGATGCCTCATAAAATGGATTTATACGATATTTGTCCTTTTGTGACTGGCTCATTTCACTTAGCTTAATGTCCTTAAGGTTCATCTGTATCATAGTATGTGTCAGAATTACCTTCTTTTTAAAAATTTATTGTTGACACTATTACAGATGTTCCCCATTTCCCCTCCCCTTTACCCACCTACACTCAGCCCCGTCAGAATTACCTTCTTTTTTAAGGCTGAATAATATCCCATTATATGGGTATACCCCACTTGTTATCAGTTCATCTGTCCGTGGACACTTGGGTTGTTTCCACCTTTTGACAATTGTGAATGATGCTGCTGTGAACAGGGGTGTGCAGATATCTATCCTAGTCCCTGCTGTTAATTCTTTTGGATTTAGACCCAGAAGTGGAATTGCTGGATTGGGGGGTAAGTCTACATCTAGTTGTTTTTTGAGGAATCGCCATTCTGACCATATCGTGGTCCCTTTTGAGTCTCTGTCTTCATCAGACTTGCAGAGAAGGGCTGCAGTTCTTCACCGTTGGCCCACAGCCCCGCCCAGCGTGCCGTTTGACCAGGACGTTCTCTCTCAGTAAGTGTTTGTTACACTGACTTAAACAACCGAGGAATGCCCTTAAGCCAGCCCCAGAGAACTCGCCCCAGAAAGCAAGAGAGATTTTATGTAAGAGGCCTCAGAAGGATGTGATCTCACTCCCTGACTGCCAGTTCATCTCCCATGATGAAGTGGTGAGAAAGCAGAAGTCATTTTTGAGAGAATAGCCTTCCGTGATCACAGTGAGGTCATTGCTAACCTCGGGGCTGTGGGCTGAGTTATCGCAGCTTCTGTCTTTTAAGGGCGTCTGGATGAGCCCTCCAGCCCTTTTTGCAGTCCTTTTACGTGTAAGGAAACATATTCTCTTGATCTAAGGCGCCTTCTTTCAGCAAATACTCTGTGCGTGCAAGCACTTGTGTGCAAGCACTTACTCTGTGTGCAAGCACTTTGTGTGCAATACTCTGTGTGCAAGCACTCTGGGTGCAATTACTCTGTGTGCAAGCACTTTGTGTGCCTGGAACGCTATGCCAAGGAGAGGTAGCAGGATGCCCAACACAACTCCTGCCTTCACAATATACAAACAGCAAATAATCAGAATGCTGTATGAGTAAACAAGTGCTCTGGGCATTACTGGGGGTGGGTAGGGAAATACCCAGACGACAGAGGAAGGTCAGGGAAGCTTTCACACTGGGAATGGGGAGGGGATAATAGTGAGGCTGTTGCAAGGGGTGCAAGCTGTGTGAGCCCACAACATCCTTGTCATCACGATTCTTAGGAGACCCCAGAGATCTGTACCAGGTTTGAATCCCTCATGCTGGAAGGCCGGTGTGTGAGTGAAGGCATAAAACAAGTTAGACCACAATAGGGACATGATGTAGAGTGTGTTTAGTGGCATGTTTCAAAAAGTTTCGTAGATCACTTAGGCCTTATAGCTTGGTAATGTAAAAATCACTTAAAAGGCTTTACATTTTTTAATTATTTGACTTCGCATTCTGTGGGGTGGTGGGAATAGGGTGCAGGACATATGTGCTGAGGGCAGTGGGCACAGATCTGGGCCTTCATTATGATCTCAGGGTGCAGCCTTCAAAACTGTCATGGTCAGGTTGCTGTAGGTCAGGTTGCTAGTCCAGTTGATGGAAAAGTTAGATTATTCAAAGAAATGACGAGCAGGGACCAAATTGTGGCAGCACTTTGTGCAAAGAGCTCTGTCACAAGTCCCAGGGAGGATGGCAGATACTAAAAAAAAGGAGAGGGACGTGTTCCAACTTCTGGCTTAAATAGGTCCTTCTGGCCACTGTGTGAAAAGTAAAGTGGAGAGGGGGCTAGAAATGGTGAAGACAAGTGCTAGAGGGTGGAGGACTGTCCCCACTTCCTGAGCCCTTACTGTGCACAGGCCGCCACGTTAAGCACCTGGATTGTTATGTAGCTGAGGAACACTCCGGAGTCACCCAAGATGCTCAGCCGAGGAGTGACTTTATGAGATCCCAGTAACCCTCTCCATAAAGGCTGGGTCTTCGGCTGTCCATGGCCAGGCCTGGGCTGTCCAACAGACTTCAAGATGGACTTGAGGATGTGGTGCCGCTTGTCCGTCATTCCACAATGTGGTGTCAGTGGGGCAGTTACTTAGAGCTGCACCTTATGAGGTTCCTGAGCTCAAACTTGAGGTAATAACAGTAAGAGGCTGGGTTACTCCATCCAAACCAGCCCATTGTGTGGAGAGAGCTGAGCTGCGAAGCCAAGTGGGTTGGGGACAGAGTGGGGTCTGGGTTCAGCGGTTGCAGGCAGCTTTCTGTGTGGTCCCCAAGGCTGTGTCACTTCTGTGGCAGGGCCATTGGGAGGAGAGCCGGACTGCACATATGATCATTCTGACACCTTCTGTCTCTGCCATCTAGTTAATCAGCCAGTCTGTCCCTTTCACCTGCCCACGGCCTTGCCTTGCTTCTGGTTGTCATTTCTCCCCCGAACATTGCAGAGACCTTCGGTTCTTGGAAGGTTTCACATATTCCTGCCAGAATGAACATCGGGGAATGTCATTCCCAAATGCATATAAAACCCTTTAAAAGCTTGTGCCCCTATGTAGAAAACCGAGAGAGGAGAAAGTACTTGTTATTGTTTTGTTTTGCATTTATGTAATTACTAAAGAAGATGGACGTTTTTTCCTCTTTGTCCCACATTAATTTGGTTCTGGTACACCATACAGTAGGTACTCGAAGATACCTTGAACCCTTTCAAAGAGGATTAGTCTGGAAAGGTTGGGTGTCAGCCTGCTCAGAGGCAGAGGGATGGACTGACCCATGGCCCCCTTTCCCTTCCTGGGAATCCTGGCGCTGTGAATTGTCAAAGCCTTCTTTATCTTCCTTGATTCAGACTTATCTAAGATATTTAACCAACGGACAGCCTTCCATTGAGCGATTCCCCATCAGCTTTAAAACCTACTTCTCAGGAAACTACTTTCATCATGTCGTGCTGGGGATTTATTGCAATGGCCACTATGGCTCACTGGGCATGAGCCGGAGGGCGGAGCTGATGGACAAGCCGCTGACCTTTCGGACTCTGAGTGACCTTATCTTTGACTTTGAAGACTCCTACAAGAAATACCTGCACACAGTCAAGAAGGTCAAGATTGGGCTGTACGTCCCCCATGAGCCTCATAGCTTCCAGCCCATTGAGTGGAAGCAGCTGGTCCTCAACGTCTCAAAGATGTTGAGGGCTGACATAAGGAAGGAGCTGGAGAAATATGCCAGGGACATGAGAATGAAGGTAGGTGCTGGGAAGGCAAGTGAGGGATGAAAGATTCTCTCTCTCTCTCTCTCTCTCTCTCTCTCTCTCTCTCTCTCTCCCCTCAATTCCTCTTGCCTCCTCCCCACATTTCTGAGATGGTAAAAACTTTCTTCAGGTTATCTTGCTTGATAGCCACCCTATTAAAAAAAAAAAAAAGATAAGCCGTTTGCTGTTTGACATGGACAATTAAAGTCTCTCATTGTATATACTACTTCAAAAACGAGAGCTAAAGCCAAATAGATGTTACAGTTACAGCAATGTTTGGTCTGTAGTACTTCCTATGAAATCAAATCTAAAATGTTAGTCATTTTATACTAAGACTCTAGTTTTGTTTTGCTCTCTATTTTGCCTGTGTAATAGAGTGGCTGATCATCCCAGTTTCCCTGAAACTGAAGATTTCCCCAGGGTATGGGATTTTCAGTGCTTAAAACTAGGAAAGTCATTCCTTGGCAGGGTCGCCAGTTGTTTGGAGTGTCGTCCCTAAACACCACAGTTGTGGGTTCAATCCTCAATCAGGGCACATGCAACAGTCAACCAATGAATGCATAAATAAGTGGAACAACAAGTTATCTCTCTCTCTCATCAACTTAAAAATTTTTTTTCTTAAAACCAGGAAATTTCTGGGCAAACCAGGATGAGTGAGTGGGTCCCCAGCTTTGGAAGAGTCACATTATTTCTGTTCTGCTTAACAGCAAAGTTCTTTGGCAAAATAATTCTGCCCTGGAGTCACAATGGCAAACAAAGGAGCACGCGCTCTGCTGGCTTTATATAAACTCACTCATAAGTCCTCCTTCCCTCTACCTTGTCACTTCCCATGTGACATGATGCCTGCTTGTCCTTGTCCCTCCAGGGCCTGTGGAGTCACTGAGAGAAGCCTGTGCAGGCACTGAGGACCACAGGGGGGAGGGGTTTTCCACATTCAGGCTCGGTTATGTTCAGCACATGGGGACTTGTCATCGGCACCCTGTGGGACCTGGAATGGAGATTCCTGGCAAATTGAAACCACTCTGTGCGTGTGTGTGGGTGGAGAGTCAAAGGGACACGCTGATTTCTGGGGCAGTGTAGATGGGACTTTGCCTGCACCAGAGAGGAACTTGCTGAGCAACTAAACACAGCCCAGGAAGCTGAGGCACTGGGCTCTACTCCTCTCTCTCTGCCTCGGTAAAGGGGGCATCATACCCCCTGGGAAGTGGCACCTTTGCTTCTTGGTTTCGCAGGATGAGAGAGGAACTTCCTCCTAGAAGTCTCCCGGCTCAGGGCCTTCTAAACCATGTGATCATGAGTGGGCTAGGGGCTGGGGCCTGGAGGCTGGGCTGGGGGAAGACTCATGAATGGGGGCCGGTATACCAACTCCTTATATCTCCTTCAGATCCTGAAACCTGCAAGTGCCCACTCTCCAACCCAAGTGAGAAGCCGGGGGAAATCCCTGTCCCCCCGAAGGAGACAGGCAAGCCCCCCGAGACGGCTCGGCAGGCGAGACAAATCGTGAGTAGTATTTCCTCAACATTGGTGGGTTTGTCCTGGCTCTGGGAACAAAGCTGTGTCCTGGGCTTGACACTTGAACCAAGCAGTGATATCCAAGCAGCTGGTCCTCATTCGGGAGACCTCTCTTATGGAGAAGGACCCACCATGCACATCACCTCTATTACTCTTACTCGCTGACAGTCAGCTGCAGACACAGGTGGAGAGGTAAGCTTAAGACTGTGTGAGATGAAGAATAGCCCCACATCCTGGCAGCATGGAAGGAACACTGGACGTAGAATTAGGATCCTGGGTCTGGACCCATCTCAGCTACTGGGGAGCTCCGTGACTCTAAGCATATCATGAAACCTTTCTGGGCTTACGTTTTCTCACCTCCCAAATGGGATTGTTGGAACTGATGAACTTCCTTCAAACCCTGTAGCCCTCCGTACCCAGCAGAAATTGTAATCACCCTCTGTGGGTGGCAGCAACAGAAATACCCACAGACTCACCCTCTTCCTTGGCTGACTCTACTCCCCCTTGTTTTAGTCTTAGGCTAGTGAATCCACTCCTACTTCTTAGATCAAAACCACCCACTTATGAAATGACAGATTGGAGATGCTCAAAGTAACCAGTGATTAATCCACTGGCAGATATTTGGGCCATGAATACACTGAGGGAAAAATAATGCTTTTATTAACAACAGTGGCAGGCTGTGTCACATGAGGTTCTGACCCTAATCCTGCCCCTGATGCTGGCCATCACCCTTGATCCTTGACCCTGACCCTAACTCTGCCTCTGCTTTCTGATCCAAACATCCATCATTGCTTTCACTAACAACGTAGTAGTTGTCTCAGAGGACTGTGAACGTGTAAACCGTCCCCAGAGGGTCATTTAGCTTAGAGCGAGTGTCCCAGAAATAGGAATCTGATTGCTCCTGGAGCAGGAGAGGAAGCCCTCTCATCTGATTTATTATCCTTTCTGCTCAAAGGGGGCTGAGTCCTTCCCTTAGGAGCTCCTAATCTTGAGCAAGTGGTGAGCAATCCACACAGCCTGCTCTTCCCTCTAGATTAGGCCCAGAGCACGAGAAACCCTAAGCATTCTTCTGCCCAATGAATTTAGGCACAGAACGGGTGGCAGCTTTGAGATAATTCCCATTGGATCCATTTTACTTGGGCCCACAAGAACTTTGCAGTCTATGGCATGTTAAGTTTTTAACCAGAAAACGTTACCGTGGTTGACCTGGAATGGTAAAACCAATAAGTTCGCAGAAGTTGGCTGTGCAGACAAAAGTCAGAATGATAAGCTAGGTAGGTGGTGGTGGTGGTTCGAGAAAAGCGGAGGGAGAAGGTGTCTTTGAGTTTGGACTGTGCAATTTGAGGTGCTTCTTGGGCATCCAGGGGCAGTGTCCTAGAAGCTGCTGGAACTGCAGATCTGGAACTTGAGGAAGTTGGGGAATAAAGATAATGATATGTGAACCATCTCCTTGAAGAGACCATTGACATGATAGCTGGATGAGTTTGCAAGGGAAGAAAGAAGTGATGTCAAGGCTCTGAGTAGGCCAGAGGAAGAAGAATCTGAACAGAAGAGTGCAAAGAGGTAGTCAGAGAGTGAGGTTGGAGCAGAAGTGTGAAGGGCATGCGTGTGCCACGGAGGACAGCTGCATAGGAAGCGGGGAAGTGAAGGGGGGTTTGAAAATGGTAGATGAGGCGATGGAAGTGGACGGACTATATATTACATGCTATTATCCTGCCTGTGAAGGAGGGCAAGCCATCTGGGGGGAGTGGGTGGAGGGCAGGTTGTCAGTATCAGATGAAGAAAGGGCTGCACACAGCACGAGGGCCCAGTGGAGGATAGAGAGAAGGTTCCTATAACCCTGTCCTCCAACTTGAGCTAGCGGAGAATCACCAACAAGGCTTGTGAAAAGATTGCCGGGTACCTCCCCCAGCATTCCTAGTGCAACAGATCTGTGTGGGGCCTGAGAGCATGGTGTCCTAACAAGTTCCCAGGCAATGCTGATGGGCCAGGTCCAGGGACACACGTGGACATTCACTAATTTATCAGTCAGAATGGGAGAACTGACTGGGGGGTTGGCCTTAAAAAATAACAGGGTCAGCCCGGCTGGCGTGACTCAATAGTTGAGCATCCTCCTATGAATTAGGTGGTGGTCTTGGTTCGATACCCGGTCAGGGCACATGCCCAGGTTATGGGCTCAATCCATAGGTGGGGGCATGCAAAAGGCAGTTGGTCAATGATTCTCTTTCATCATTGATGTTTCTATCTCTCCCTCTTCCTTCCTCTCTGAAACCGACAAAAATAAAGTTTAAAAAAATAACAAGATGTCAAGATGAAGGAGCCGATGAGGCCATCGAGGGTGGTTCAGGGGCTTAGCCCTGCCCAGTCCTGCTTGGGCTTCTAGATAGTGAGGTTGCTTAGATAAAGTTAGAGGTCCCTGGCCTGGACCCAATGGTTGGGCCCCACTGAGGTCCCTCTGGAAGGAGTCCAGTGGCTCTTCTCCTGAGGACCAGATAGAGAAAGCCAGTTCTCAGTCCTCCCCCAGGCCAGGCCCATACATACCCTAATCTCTAGCTACTTTGTCATGCAGTCAAGGCAAGCAACCAGGCCTGTGCCTGCAGAGGACAGATGTTAGACTGCCACAGCTATAAGTGCAAAGCCACCTGCCAGTGGTGGGCCCACTCACCTCTCCCCTCCTGCCACCTGAAGCCTGGGAGTGGGCCTGGGCATGGGGAGAAAGACGGGGGAGAGGACAGTAGTCACTGGAGGCTTTGGGAAGGAAGACCTGCAGGAAGATGGGGGTTCACTTCCATCACATCCATGCCCAGCGGGGAGGCTCCTGGAGCACAGAGCTGATGGCTCGTGGTTCAGTGAAAATAAACTTTTGCAAAGTGGTGAAGAGTGGTTGCCTCCAGCCCCTGAGTCCCCCACACCCATACCTCTACCCCACAGCCCTTTCTCCTGGGCAGAGCCCTCATTCCCTGGAGTCTCTCTTCATAGACTCCTTCCAATGGGTCAGAATTTGGGGACTTTTCCAGTTGGCATTGGAATAGTTTTATCATCAAGGGAGCCTAGGTGGCTTTTTGAGTTCCGTTCCTGTGGAAAATTTTATATGAGCAAATCTAGTGAGCCCAGGGTTATTCTTGGTGTTGGAAACCCCTGCCTGCTATTACTTTTCTCTTTGCCCTAGCAGACAGATACTTGACTGAAGTTTCAAAATGGATTGATGTGATAACAGGAGAGAAGATTCCCTCCCCAACCCCTCCTGCACCTGAAGTCTGAACTGCAGGGCTGGGTAAGGGGTCCCAGGGCTGCCATGTAGGAAGAGAGGAAAGTGAGATGAGGAAATGAGAGTAGAATCATTTTCTGCCAGAGGTGGAGATCACTGGAAGAGCTCAAGCTCCAAGCCCTTCCCTCCCTCTCTAGATCCCTGCTTCCGCCAGGGGACACACTAGCACCCAACACCCTGGTTCCCAGAGGTGTGTCCAGAGAAAAGGAACTTTTTACTACCTCAGGGCCTTCATCACATAGGCCTTTCTCCAGGTAACCTTGCTGGGGCAGAAGAGAAAGTGGCGAATTTTGTTATGGCTCAATAACTCCGCCAACTCTGGGGACCCTACTGTAGTATGGTCAGGGCATAGTAGGGTCTGGAGACTCTTGTCACGGAGTTGTTATTTCAGCAATGACGTAAGGCCATCGAGTCATTTCTAAATGTGTTGGGTGCCATGATGCGGCTAAGGAGTGGCCCAGAGGATGGAAAATGCCATAACAGGCAAGAGGCCCATCAGCTGTGGGGTCCCAGGCCATCTGTGTGTGGGTAAATTTAGCGGCTGCACATTGCCCCTCCTTCCTACAACGGGAGCCACTGCCAGCCCTGCATGCCTCTCTATTTTTGCACTTGTCGGAATAATCCCGGCAAGAAGGATCCGTGTCACTGGGTTGACACTCAGCTGAGTGGCACGTAGCAAAGGGTTCGCTAGCGCCAGCTGAGACAGAGTCTCTAGAGGGAAACAACTCCTCGACTCTCCACCCACCAGTCCTTTCTCATTCTCTCTCCTTGAGGAGCGTTTAAAGAACCCTCCACACGGAGCAGTCAAGTGGTTCCTGTGGTTTTTAGAGACGGGGAAATGGAGGTTGAGATCCCTGTGTACAGGGTCTTCTGTGACCTCAATTAAACCTCTGTCTTCACAGTTCAGTTCCCTCCTAGCTCTTTCTTCACTGAGGAGCGTCCACAGTGGTTCTCAGCAGGGGCCAGGACACCTTCTGGAGAAGGGATAGAAATGCGGTGGGGCCGAAACCTGTTTGGGCTCAGTGGATAGAGCGTCGGCCTGCGGACTGAAAGGTCCCGGGTTCGATTCCGGTCAAGGGCATGTATCTTGGTTGCGGGCACATTCCCAGTGGGGGGCGTGCAGGAGGCAGCTGGTTGATGTTTCTCCCTCATTGATGTTTCTAACTCTCTATCTCTCTCCCTTCCTCACAGTAAAAAATCAATAAAATATTAAAAAAAAGAAAGAAAGAAAGAAAGAAAGAAAGAAAGAAAGAAAGAAAGAAAGAAAAATACGGTGGGAGGGGAAGTGAGAGGGTGCTCCCCTCTAGGGCCCTGGGGTGCCAGAGACCATAAATGTCCTGTGGAACTCAAGACCATCCTCCCCGGTAAAGAACCAGTTCCTAAAATGCAGCAGCGGCCCCACTGAGAACCCCGAATGTCATTTGGGGTCCTTTCCAGTTCTGACAGTCCTCGCTCTATGCTTGCTGCCTGTGATCTGGACATGGGAGGGTAGAGGTGAAGGGACAGTGGCTTTCTGGCTGGCCTGCCTATGGTAGCCTGAAAGCAACTCACACCCACTGGAGTGACACATGGAACGTTCTTCCAAATTGGAGCAAGAGTCCCTGAGGACACACCAGAACCTCTGTCTTCTCTCCCCCGTCCGTCTACTTTGTGCCCTATCCCTCCTTCACTCTTTGTTGCTGTTCATGATTCTTTTCCTCTCTTTTTTCTTCCTCCTTGA